TAGTTGCTCCGCGGCATGTGGGATCCTCACGGACCAGGGCTCGAACCCGTGTCCCCTGCATTGGCAGGCAGATTCTTAACCACTGCGCCACCAGGGAAGTCCCACAATTTCTTAAAAAGACACTCTTCCCATCCTTTTCTTCCTGCTTTCAATTTTTTAAGGGTTCTTTGTCCTTTGCTTCCCTAGGAGTGCAAACTAAGAGACCCTTTCAGATCTTCCATTCCTTGATTTCAGTGCTATTAAGAAGAGTGTAGGGACTCCCCTGGCGGTCCAGTGGTTAGGACTCCCCGCGTTCACTGCAGGGGGCAGGTTTGGGTCCCTGGTCGGGGAACGGAGACCCCACACGCTGTGCTGTGCTACCGCCCCAAAAGAAAACAGAAGAAAACGGTGAACTACAAGGAGAATGTAAACAGTTCCTTTGAAAGTATTGGCTTATTTAGAATGTGTAGGTAGGCAGGAAACATGTTCTTTTGAGAAAACCTTGAAATAACACGCACCTGGAAATTTTATTTGGGATAGCACTGTAATACTCCCTTAAGCACCTTAATTCCTGGAAACATTTTTGCTAACTAAAATTCTTCCAGGATCTACCAGAAAAGACACTGAAGTAACGTTTTGCCTCTATAAAGGGCTGTTGACACGTGTCCTTTGTTATAATAGAGCAACGTTCAGAACTCCTAAACCACCCGCAACTTCAATTTAGGAAGGTGAAACATTTCTAAAACGTGCAGAGTCATGTGCTAAGTGCACAAGTCATTGTTCTAGAGGAATTTTGTAAGTGAATGCACTGCAGAAGTATTAGTGCATGCCTTCCTTTTCCAGATTGTATGAAAGGCTGTACCAACCCAATCTGTAGGAGTGCTCGTCTGGTCCGCAGTGACAGATGCAAGACAAAATGTATCGGTCGTGCAGGTGTCGGCCTGAAATTCACGCTGAGCTGATAAGGGAGAGCACGGGGCCGTTACACATCCGATTGTGGTCACTCTGGCCTTCGTTTCTTAGTCTGTGAAATCCGAGGACTGAACTGCATGGCTTGGCAGGCCCCTTCCCGCTCAGCATCCAGATTCTAAAATCAGAAATTTGGAGGAAGATATTCAGGGTCAGAAGTATTAACAGCATGTTAAATAGCACATTAAAGAATCTGAGAGAAAAAGACTAGGAACCCAACTGCTTTTGCAGTTACGAGATCCACAGATTATGGGGAATTTGTAGCTTTTAAATACCTTCCCCTCCTCAGCCCCTACCAGGTAGGAAAGAAATTTTGTTTTCAGAGAAGTTACCTAAACTTGGTTTTATTTCTATCTTGATAAATAGCATTCTATTTAAACTCCTTACTTTTCAAGAATTTCATTGATAATAGAATTAAGGTTAATTTAGGCTCCTTGAAGGAGGCAGCAGAAAGATGAAATTACTCTTGGAAGACGGTTGGTGTTGTGCAGCCAGAGGAAACCCTTTGTGGGAGCTGGAGAGGTCTAACCCGCACAGGGTTTTGTGTGAGCTGTGCCTGATGAGTCTCCCCTCCTGAAGGTGGGCTTCTGGCTTGAGTATAGCGTGGAAGCCTTGTCCGTCATTCCAGAGAACGGATGGATGTATGTACAAGTGTATATGCATTAAAAACAGTGCACCTGGGCCCTTGTAGCCTCTGGGACGGAGGAGACTTTTCACGTGGGATGATGCTGTATCACAGTCTTGAGTGCAAACATATAAAACACTCAGCCGCTGGAAATGCAGTAACCGCAATGGAGGGTTACAACTGTGCCGTCAGAAAGGAATCTCTACTTCTAATCCACCAGAGCAGACACACTTACAGAGTTAGATCTGGGGGCTGAGTGGCAGGGGCCTGAGACCGCGTGTTCCCCTCCCCATGGTTCTGATCCAGGAGACACGTTGCCCAGCTCTCTTCTGCCCTGTCGTGAGGTATCTTTTGTGGGAAGTGTCCTGTATCCTAAAGCAAACTTGGATCATTAGTCACAGTGAGATTGATTGATCGGACACTGAGGGTGAGGGTCCGCGCTGTGTTAACGGTGAACTTTGGTCGTGGTAGTTAGCAGCCCGCTTTATCTCTTACGTACTTGCTGCCAGCTCTGTAGACTAAAACTTATCTAGTCCTTCTGATTTACCCACGTAAATAATTCAGGCTACTGACTTTGACTTTGTCTTGGTTTTTGTCCCTGTTCTTTAAAAACTGAGGTATAACTTACATACAATAATATTCGTGGATCTAAGTGTGCAGTTCAGTGAATTTTGATAGTTGTATACATCATGTAATTTCTGGCTTTTGAATGAGAAAAATAATCATTTTACAAAATGAAGCTGAGCTTGGAGTCGCGGTGCTGGGGTGTCTGAAGGCTGAAGTGCTCTAGACACACTTCTCATGAACTTCATCTGAACCTCCGCCAACCACCCTGACCCAGCCTTAGACCATCTGCTCGGCCGCAGATCATCTGCTGTTCACCATTAATGCAGCTATTTGTCCTGTGTTTCAACGTAAATAGAGTCAGTGTTCATACTGTTTCTCCACGTTCTAATCTATACTCTCCCTTATTACATCCTCGTGTCACATACTTAAAGTGACCCCGTCGTGCTTGGCCTCGCTGGCTGCCTGTCCTCAGCCACGTGTGCCGTTTTGAACGTGCTTGGCAGGTTTTCAGTGAATCACAGGACTGAAAGGAACCTCAACATCAGCAACCTTTTCTATCACTCTGATGGGTCTAAGCTAATGGGCTCTATTTTTGTCCGGATCCGCCCAGAGAAGACCATGTCCTGCCTTCCTGGGCTTGTAAATTCTTAAATGGTGCCTGGTGTCTCTCTCTCTCTCTCTCTCTCTCTCTCTCTCTTTTTTTCAATATTTTATTAAATCCAGTTTGCTTTGCTGTATTCTTCTTGGCTTACCTTTTATACTGTGGTGAAATACGTTCCCAAAACAAAATATGTTTAATAAAAAATTTTCTACGGCATTTACATTGCTCTTTTCAAACAACTTTCAAATGTGTGAATAGTAGTGGGCCAAGCTGTACTATCCTTTCAGATTTGGGAAATAAGGACTGTTCATAGCATCCAATTTTCCCTTTTTGCTTCTATACCATTTGAATTTCCTCTTTTAAGATATGGAGTATTTTTACCTGGATTTCAGCCTTTTTCAAGTATATGTATCTTTCCCCTTGAATGAGGTGGTATGCCAGAGCCTTAATCCTTCTGAGAGAAAGAAGATTAGGGTTAGGTAAACCTTAAATTAGGAAATGCAGCTACTTGGGAAAATAGTTACGTGTCAGAGTTAGTGGTAAATCAGAGCATGTTAAATTAAGGTGTAAAGAGAGAAAAGAGATAATACAAATTAAGAAAATGGTTTCTATCCCTGTTTTTTAGTCTAGCAGATTAAGCGATAGATCGTCTCATCATTTCACATATAATATCTGTCCCGGTAGAACATTGAACTTTCTGTAAGAAGCTCTTGAATTCGTTTTATATAGTGTTTTACACTTTTCAGAGTTTTTTTCCTACTTTTCTGTATACTTTTCAGGGCTTTCACCACGGCACGCCACATAAATCTCACATCGACTCTTATCAAACAGACAGGACAAGAGAAAAATTTCCAACTTAAAGATGAAAAACTGGGGCCCACAGTGCTTCTGAGGGGTGTTTTCAAGGTTATATGGCAAGTTAGTTATATTACTTATGCAAATTCAAGAAAAACAAAGGGTAAATTAATTAAAACCTTACTAACATTAGTTAAGCCTCCTACAGTTCCAAGGTCTGTGAATGAATTTTAAAAGCATTTATCATACTTCTGTGTCATCTTCCTCGCATCCCTACATCACGTAGATTCTAAGAGAAAGTTCTCAAGTAATGCTTGGGCCCAACCAAGAAGAAAATAAGTTCTGGGTTTTTAAGAGTTTTTAGGGTATTTTTGAATTTTTGAGCCATAGCTTTTGTCTTCAGTTGTTTGCTTGCTTACATTTTCTGTAATATGCAGGAGACTATAGTGGAAGAGAACAGGGGCTTGCTTGTTTGGAATCCAGCTACTTAGGAGCTTTTTTACTTTGGGCAAATTACTAAACTCCTGTAGATCCTTGATTACCTAATATCTAAACTAAGACTTTACTAGTTGAGATTTGTAAGAATTGGACGCAATATATGTAAAGCCTTAGTTTTCTTCTTGTAGGCTCGGAATCAAATACCCCTAACAGATGTAGAAAGGAGCTTTTAATCCCACCTTCTTTTCTGTTCCTCCTGTTTATCCCATGTTTAAATGGCGACTGCAGTGGTGTCCGGTGTGTAGCAACAGTGAACTCTCTTCTCCTTCATATTTTCCTTTTAAGAGAGTTAGTTATTAATCATTTGACTTGCTTCATTTGTATAATTTAGAACAGTGTGTCAGTTAGAATCGGGGTTTTTTTTTTTTTTTTTTGCCAAGGTAAATGAGAAGGTACAGTAATGGAGGTCCATGGTGAGTGGTTTTTTTCTAATCAAAGTGGTACAGTACTGATCCATTTTATCATGTTGCATGTTAAAAAAAAAAAGCCTTCTAAGCAAGAACTTACTGTAATATAGCACAAAAAAGGTCATGATCAATCTAGGTATTCCTTGGGAATATCAGTTGCTATCCCTTTTAAAACCTGATTTCAGTTTGCTCTGTTCTATGAATATCTTTAGTGAGAGCATAGTAAATTGCAGAACACTCTGCCAAATTCGATAGGTAAGGGATATAACCCCTGCATCGGCAGGCGGACTCTCAACCACTGCGCCACCAGGGAAGCCCTAGAATTGGAGGATATTTTAAAGCTGACGTATATGTCATTGTTTTGTCTGTCTCTTCCCCCCCGCCCCCCCTTCACAGAGGATCTTCAAATGCTTCCTTAAAGGGAGAAGAATACAAGGAGCCTCTGCTTTTCCGTTCTGGAGACCACTACCCCTTATCTGATGGGGACTGGTCCCCCTTAGACACGTAAGTATTCTTGAAATTTCTCCATTTCTTAAAGGGAGGATATACTGATAGCTTTTCTGTTATTCGACTTGATGATGTTTCCACGTCTCTCATACAGAAGAGGAATTGAATGTGTGCTTTTAACACAAATATAGACCTTTCCCCTCAATAATTATTTTGTTCCTAAACTTGATCTGACTTATTCTCAGAGTTGGCCAGTGTAGACCTGTATCATCAGCATAGAATTTAACCCTCTACAATTCTTTTTTGTGTCAACTACTAACTGTAACTGTGGTTAATACTGTGAAGAAACGTGCAGTCACACTTCGTGTTCAAATCCAGTTTCTCTCTGTATTATGTTAACCCATCTTTCCATGCATTTTCTCTGCTATAAATTACCTTTCTCATTGATTTCTTGTGAGAATCAAGTGAGATAATGCATATTATTGAGGACCCGGCAAATCCACAATAAATGCTAGTTGGCATTGTTTTTATTATTATTAAAGAGCTCAAGTGGAAAAGTAGCCTTTATATCTGCGGGTGAAATCGATATATTCAAACTTATATTTCTTTTCATCTCTTGAGCTTGGCAAGAATGAGGTTCCTGACTTTAATTAGAGTCATCACATTTCTTTGTCCTGTGTTTGCAGCCCCTACTCCCCAGCGGCGTGTCCTAAGAGCGACTCAGAGCTGGAGGTGAAACCCGCCGGGAGCCTGCTCAGATCCGAGTCCCACATGGAGTGGACGTGGGGAGGGTTCCCAGAGTCCACCAAGGTAGAGGGTTCGCCAGCCTGCGGAGTTGAGGACGGGGTCACAGGAATATAAGTGGTGGTGGTGCCCTCATGTGGTCGCATAAGCGAAGCCGAGTTAACATCTCTGATAACGTTTGTGCTATATTTATAGCGGAAGGAATCCAGCATTATTTTGTGTGTTCCTATTTCATAAATAATGTTGATTATTAACATTTTAATCAGGAAAATTTTTTAAATTCCTAAAGGAAACTAAAATTTCCACTGAAATTTTAAAATAGGAAATTGATTACGAAAGCTTTTTTGCCAGCTCAGGGTGAAAGAAGGAAGAATTGGAAAGATGCATGTCCTGAGAGGGAAAAAAAAAAATGTTTAGACCCTCTAGTTTTTTTTTTTGACCCTCTAGTTTTTTTTTAAATACACATTTTGCTTGTTTATGTGGTCGCATTGAGATCTGACTGCCCACGGTAACAAACTGCCCACAACGTTTGTTATGTTGTTAACAAACACCTTTGGCAGTAGTTTAATTTCTAAACAATTCGCCTGTTTCAGGTCAGCAAAAGAGAGAGATCGAGGACAGCTATGATTACTCCATCAGAAAATACCCATTTTCGGGTAATTCCCAGCGAGGACAACCTCCTAAGTGAAGTTGAGAAGGATGCTTCTGTGGGGGAGATGGTCTGTACCATCGTGAAGCCTAAGCCCCGGGCCCCAGGGAAGCAGAGGAGTGGAGCAGCCCTGGCATCGGGGCCTCGGGAGCCCCCCGAGGGGTCAGATGCCCACCACCCTCCTCCCGCGTCCTTCGCCGAGGCACCCTCAGAAGCTAAACCAGCTGCTAAAGTCGACTCACCCTCAAAGAAAAGAGGTAATTGGTGGCTTGATTTGGCCTCGGCTGCCCTCAGTCTAGGTGGTAAATTTCTCCAGGGTTTCAGTTCATACTCGGGGGCTGCCGTTGTGTCTGTGCTCCTGACTGGGACCTGCCACACTCGGGCATCAGGCGCCCCTGGAGGTAACTCTGACCTCCTCCCTCTCCCGGCCGTGGCTGCTCAGGCCCCTGAGAAGCGTTTATTGAAAAACTTATGAAAGCGTTAAAATCAGTTAAAGACTAAAGTTAACCCCTTTAATGACTAGGTGTGTCAGTAACGTGAAGTAGAATCCTGAACGGTTATGTTTCACAGAAAAAATCAGACTAGAGAACTGCGCACACCTGAAACATCTGAGGCCAAACTAAGTACTTTTGTTGCAATAATTTGGGCCCTAAATAAATGCACACCAATTACTAGTGTGTGTTCTCTTCTTTTGATTGTTGATTGGAATCCTCTAACAGTTAGAAGACAGGGTGCAGCTCCTGGCTCAGCAGCTCTCACTTTTGGAAAGTAGTTGACATCCATCAGAACATTCTTACTGTTGGAAAATATAAAGTTATCCATTGATACTGGATACAGTCTATCTGAACACTGGCTTTGGGCCTATTTTTAGGGAAGTAAAACCTTCCCTAAAAATATTCAGTTGTCACATAGAGCCAAATACCTACTTAACTTCTCAGAAAATGCCAGCACCATAAGTTAGACGATCACAAACTGACTTAATAGCCACTATAGGTATGGGCCTTCAGGGTCACTCAGAAACAGTTCATTTAAAATAAAGGAATATGACTGTCAGGGGTGTTTGTGGCCACATGTGCTCACCCAGCTGGTGAGGAACTCGGTACTTGCTTCTTCCTAGCTCAGCCCATCTTCTCAAATCACGTGTGCTACTCTAAGAACTGCTAAGGGGGCATCCCGTGTTCCGGTTTTAGTTCAAGGAATAATGACCCCCTGTTCTCGGCACTCAAGGCAGGAACTGACTGGAGATAGAACACCGAGTGGTGGTTTCCACCATGGATTTGGCCTCATTCTTTTCTCCCCCCAACGTTTTTTTTTTTTTTTTGCGGTACGCGGGCCTGTCACTGCTGTGGCCTCTCCCGTTGTGGAGCACAGGCCCCGGACGCGCAGACCCAGAGGCCATGGCTCACGGGCCCAGCCGCTCCACGGCACGTGGGATCTTCCCGGACCGGGGCACGAACCCGCGTCCCCTGCATCGGCAGGTGGACTCTCAACCACTGCGCCACCAGGGAAGCCCTGCATTTGGTTTTTGTGTTTAATCTTTTTTGTTTAGAACAGCTCGTGTGCTTGTGTGCACACGAGCGCACACACTGACACACCCACCACTAC